GGAATATAAGTTATCAGTTCAGACGCAAATATTTTTAGATGATAAAATAGCTTTATTGTCGTAGCATCAACACAAAATAGGGTAAGAAAATAACGGAAATATAGATAAATATTATAAAATTAAATCTTTCTTATGACAAAGGGCCGGGGGTTTTTGTGTGTCACAAGTTTATAAAGGGTTGGCAAAATAAATCTTTAATATATAGTTAACTCAAAGTATTGTTTGGAATGGACTTCGGTTTAGTTTGGTTGCACTGAAATTTGTACCGATTTAGTTTTTATTTCCTTTGTGCTGTAAGAGTAATGGTGCTGATATATACAGTACTTGTTTTAAGAAAATCGGTTCAGTTTTGGTTTGAGAAGTTATGTTCGTTCAATTTCGATTAATTTTTAACAATCAAAATGCATTTTCACATTTTTAACAATCAGTGCAATTCTTACAAGAAAGTCACATTATTTATTATTCCTATGTACATGCTACCAAGTCCACGAAGCACAATTAAGTGCAAAAGGAACTTCCGTCGTTGCAGAAGAAAAAACAGTTTTGCAAAATTTAAATGTTTTCATGAAAAAAAAAGAGAGAGATGAAGTAAAATGAGATATGACATGAATCTTTTCAGTAATTCACACCTAATGGTGAATTTGAAGCAGAAACACCAAGCGATGATCTCTTGACGAATCTTCCCTTCATTCGAGGTCTTTTCTCCGCATTCAGTTTACGTACCTCGTACCTTATCTTCTTAGAGAACAACCTCGTTCTCCTCTTCTCTCGGTACCTAGAAACCCTAGCTTCTCTTCCTCCATCCCCAAACCCACTTGAAGGTAAACATCCACCAACGTATTGCTTCTGATGACTTTCTCCTCCATTTTCTCCCTAAACACACAATTGTCAACTTCAGCTATTAGAGAAAACACACTTTTATTTGATCTCTAAAGAATGAGTTGATATAACATACCATGGAAATACTCGGCCAACTGTTGATGATGTCTATGTCTAGTTCCGGTGGCTCTCCTGAAGTCCACGGTGGACCTTGGCCTCCCCATATGGATATCACCGAGTCGTAGTTTAATCTCAGCATCAGTACATTCTTCTGCTCTTCCTCCTTCACCTTAATACATTCATCACTACTTCTTTCAACACTCTTTATGACCTCTTCTTCACATGTCTTGTGTGACTCGTAATCAAAGGTTAGCTCAAACGGTACCGTTCTATTCTCATCTTCCCGGTCATCATCGAATGTTTCCATGTTCATGGCTTTTCTTTCGACTTCTTCTTCTTCCTCTACCTCGATTTTAAACATCTCTGATGAGTTAGATAACCCTAGCTCCTCCATGGCATAAGACTCCGTGTCTAACCCACGACCGAGTAGAGTCTCAACGTCAGCAGCGAACTCCTCAAGCTCCATGTCGGTCGGGAAAAAACCATTCAGACAACTCTCGACAACGTTGTCTTCCTCCTCCTGATCATCGACCGTTACACCGCTTCTCATCATCATAGGAAACTCGATCTTCGGCTCAACGACATCGTTTAAGAATTGCTCAGCCACCATTGGATCGAGAACCGGCACTTGGCAAATCAGCTGCTCTTCAAGCTCATAGCTGTCCGTCTGATCCTCAACGCTAATCTCCGGCACCAAGTCATGGAAGACCGATTGATGGTTCTTCTTACTAGAGCCACGTGGAGTCCGAGCTTTACGAGTGAATCCATGATGCCACGTGGTGGATTCGTGGTGGCTATGCTTTGCGGCGGCCGGGCTGGCAGACTTCAAACGGACTCTCTCGTGGCGGCGAGCAAGAGGGTTCGCTGAGTGGACCAAACCGTCGCAGGATTGGCAAAGAAAAGCATCGTCGGCGGCGCAGTACCACCGTGCACGTCTCTTCACGCAGCTGTCGCAGGCTCTCGCCGTCTTCGCTCCAACAGCATTCGCCAAACTTTTCATCTTCTTATTACAAACTCTGATACTAGCTAACAAGAGAGTCTTGATTTTGACTTCAACTTCAATAATTGAATCTTTTCTCAAGTTATTGCTCTCTTCAAAAAGTTAGATTTTGTGTCCTCCTAGAGAATTGGGTTACTAGTATTTGGGCAGAGAGGGTTTGAGATTGAGAGGACAAGTCCCGCATGAACTGTGTTACCCTTTTGTCAGTGGAATTCTTGAAGTTATAAAATTTTATGCACTTTTTGGGTGTTTATGTCCTAAACTGGGACCTACCTGGAGGCCTTATCTGATTTTTGATTGGTTGAGTTCTGAAGATATCCTCCTGTTAGTGTTTTAATTGGTCAGCTTCTTTATCCAGTGGATTTCTTGTGTGGCCCATCTTGTCGGTTTCCCTGCCCAATCTCTTGTTATTTTTTCTCTTCTCTACTGAAAGACTTTTTGTGGTTTTTGTTATTTCTTCTTTTTTGGTAGCAAAGGTTTCGGGTTGTTATATTTTATTATATAAAGTTAATTCATCTAGTTTACAAATAAATAAAAAAATTCATCTAATTTAAATTAATCCGTAATAAATTATATAACTAATTTAATTAGCCCTTAATTAAAGTATAATCGTTTGCTATAATTCCACGTATTAAAAGTAGAAAAATGTTCATCATAAATTTAGAGTAGAAAATATTATTTTTCGTGGATCTAAATAAAGATCATATTGAATTTATCATCTTTGTATCCTCATAACGTGTAATAATTAAATTAAGATGACCAAAATTTTCTTTGCAACTTTCTTAAGTTTCTGTTTTCAACTTCCATTAAACTCGAAATCCCATAAAACAAGCTACCCAATAACGACATATGGTGTAAATGGTAACGGCTGAATTTGGTTGAATTGTAGAATCTGGCTGAAATTTTTGTGATTTTTTTAGAATCTAGCGGAATAACTTAAAACTTAAATGGTAACAGCTGAATCTGGCGAAATCTGGCTGAATTTAAAAAAATAATAATAACTAAATTAAAATTATAAAAATAATATTTAATAAATGTTATTTGACAATAAATATAGTTAAATAAACTATTAAAATATTAATTTAAAATTTGATA